AAAAAGTAAAAGGAGGGGGGGGGGGGGTGTAAATAAAACAAAGATCATTGATGCTAAGTACTCGAGAGAATTAAAAAGAAAAGGGAAGAGAAAGTTAGAAAACTGAAGAGAGTAAAATAGGAGAAGAATTAACAGCGGTTTGGAATCTCCAGAACATGTAGAAATGAAGTAATGATCTGCTTCCCCATCTAGAATTTTCTTTGAGACAAGAAATAAAATCAAAGAAAATTCAGGAAACTTGTAGCTTATGATTTGTTGAAACAACCATAAAGATATTTTCCGTGCTTAAAAGGTAGAATGTTTGGATCTAATAATCCCCATTGCCCACAAATTCTAACTTTCTACAAGTTCAATATAATGAAAAATTATAATAGAAAAGCACATGTAAAACCCATCATCATCTACTGAATAGCAAAATGTAGTTTGCACTTAAAAGTGAAAATATAAAAGCCAATTCAAATAACCATGTACTCATAATACTAGTCACCATGAGAAGGACATAAGAAATCAAACACAAGCACATCTGAATTGGAATTTCCCAACCAAAACAATGCACACTTACCCACTCACCAAGGAAAAATAAGAAAGAAACAAAGAGCCAATAAATAATTTAACTATTCTGTAAAACAAGGAGTTTGCGAGAAGAAAATACCATACATACCGGACGCAGAGGTAACCCCAAGGGGCTAAGTACACAATTTGTGTTTGAAACAACGCAGTTTGGTGGATGGTTATACCTACAAGATGATCCATATTTACAACCCCCAGTTCTCATGTAGTATTTGCAGTCAGGCTCGCCAGGCCTTTCTGGTAACTGTTGCTCCAATGTTACGCCAGCACTCAAAGGTGAGGCAGAAGAGGGTAACTGGGTATAAGCTCCTGTAAAGGCCGGTGCAGAAGAAGATAGCTGTGACATTCTATATCCAACCGAGGGTTGAACACCAGGTGATGGTGCAGGGCTAACTGGTCCCTGCATAGGTAAACCAACAACGCTATATGAAGGCAACACATGTGGGTATGAAGACAATTAATCAACTAAAAACACTACAAGAACTATACCGAGAATGTATTCCAATTTGTCATGGGAACCACTCCTGGGTGAAGCAACATTGGAGCATAAGCACCGGGCACATATGAACCATGCAATAGAGGCCTTGCAACCCTATAGGTGGTCGATGTGCTGTCATATTGCTCAGAAGGAGCAGAAAGAGACTGCCCTGTTGGATAAAATGTACGTGCTGGATCTGGCATTGATAAACCAGCTGGTTCGGGATGATCAAATTTACATGTTCTACCAAATTTGCATTGCCCCTTTTGCAAATAGTAGGAGCATTCTTGCTGACCCTGTTGTAGAGGATGATAACATGACTATTAAAATTTCTTATAACTTGAATCTATGTGCATATATTAAGCCTTGACAAAATAATTACCGGTCGTAATGGATATCCATAAATATTTAGAGGCACATTGGTCAAGGATCCACCAGCATTTTTTGGGTGATTGAACTTGCAAGATGGACCAAATTTACAGGTCCCTGTCCTTAAATAATACTGCACATAAACCAATACAGTTCACTCATTGGATAAAAAGATTGAGCATTGCATAATACAAGTAATAATGATTCTGAGATTGTCAATACAACAAGAATTGTGAAAATACAACCAATCACTGTAAAAGGTGAAGCCTGGTACCTGACATGAAGGCTCCCCTACCCGCTCAGGATAATCTCTCATAACACCCCCAGTCTGATGAACAACCAACCAAAGAACTCAGAAAATAATTCGACGATCCACATTCCGAAGTCAAATATATATTATGCAAATGCATAACAAAGAAATCCATTCATCAAACTGACATAAAGAAAAACCGAAATACCCCTATCAAAGTGAAATACAGAAACCCCAAATTGGATTACAATGACTACAGAAACTACATATTTACATTGAGAAATACAGCTAAAAAGAACTCCGGCGTAGTACATATGGAACGTGATCAAGGGCATACCGAGATTCCACGATCATGGGGATGATTATACCGGCACTTGGAGCCGTATCCACAGGTCCCGGTTCTCATATAGTACGGGCAATCTGCCGCACCTGGCCTCTCCGGGTACTCACCATCCCTCAAATTCAACCCTCGCATCGATTCTAAACAATAAACCAAAAACCCATTTTTTAAAAACCAATCATTCTCATTACTGAAACCCTAACATTTCACAATGCAAGTAAAAAACCAACAATAAAATCGAAATAAGCTCAAAATTTCCACCTACTAAACCGGGTTCTTGGCCTGCCGGAGCCCATTCCACCTGCTGCTGATCCGATTCTGTCCCGCTTCGCCTTCCGTACAACTCCATTCCTGCTTTCACTTAATTCTCAATCACTTGACTGAATCAAACGCTAAAAGGGTACAATAATCAATACTCATATAATAAAAACTCCTTTTTCCTTAAATGCCACGAAAAATCCGATGATCTTGTAATATATATTTAACTACTACGTACGAGGGCCGAAGGACTTTTTGGGGTGTCCGAGAGAGATTTTTCTACAGTGCTATTGATGAGTACTTTTGTACAGTGCGATTGAGTGAGAGTGAGAGAGAGAGAGAGCGTGTGTGTGTATATGTATAGTGTTCGTACGGCCTGGTTTAAGCACTTTACTTTTTGAACTATACATACAACTCTCTCTATATACACACACACACACACACATATACGACACAATCACACGGACACACTCACACTCACACTCACACTCTATACATACATATACATACAGCACACTCTCTCTCTCTAGTTTTTCGTCAGTTTGTAAGGTACCCGCCAATGGTGTTGGGGAAAGGGAGGGATGCGCATTAATATAAAGGCACCCTGGAAATGACTTTTCTTTAAACGGGCTTTTCGAATCTCGGCCCGCAACCGACACTGTAATTTGAAATTACTTAATGTTCCCTGAAGTTAAGGTTTGGTGGAATATTTGAGGAGGATAGTTTGGAGATTTTGAGGTTGTCTTTTGTCCCTTGTTCGGTGCGTTGATTAGGGGTAATAGGGGTATTGTCATAGTGTGTTACTTTTCGTGGGGTGAGTCGACTTGCATTTAAGCCCTCATAATGTGAATCCCCTCACACATCGAGTCGATAAATATAAAGGGTCAAGGGTGAGATCGAATTGAGTTGGGCCGGGTTAAACTAGTTTTAAAAAAAATAGAAGTTTGAGGTGAACTTTTAAGGTCGGGTCGAGGTTGAACTTTTAAACTTTTAAGTATTACTAGATCGAGTCTTAATTTTTCTAATCAAGTCGATTAAATATTATTTTTAAAAGTATTGACTTTTTTAATTTTTTATTTTTTTTACTAAAGATGGTAAGAGAAAACGAAAGTTGAGAAAAGAATAATATTATTTAAGAGTAAAACATCGGTTTAAGATGTCATTTAGTGACTCTAAATGATTGCATAATTAAATTAATCTTTATATTCTCATATTTAATTGGGTCTGTCACTTGTATCATTTTAACATTAGATAGCTTTATTAGTTGAGAAAATATTCCAACATGAATACTTATAAATACTTTTTTTGGTTTATCGGAATTGCTTAGAAGTAATTTACTTGTATTTCGAAAGAAAACCTATGCTCATAATCAGAATTTTTTTTTTCTTTTTTTAACTTCCATGTAATATATATATATATATGGAAAAAAAACTAAAAATTAAATCAAATTAGTTGTTAAGCTTATTGTCTGTCTCACGCGAATTAAAAAGGGATAGTTCTAGGTGTAAGGGCCACCAGAGGACAGATGTCCCCTTGGTATAGGTAGGGGAAAAATCCATCACACCCTATTTCTCACACACTTGTGCACATAGGGGTGGGCGTGGGTCGGTTCAGTTCGGTTCTAAAGAGAACCGAACCGAACCGAACCGAACCAAAATTTTCGGGTATTTAGCAAATGGAATCGTCGGATCCAAATATAATTATGGAACCGTTCGAGTTCGGTTCCATTCGGCTCAGTTCGGGTTCGGTTCCGTTCTGTACTAGAATTAAATTTTTTAACATTTATAACAATATTATATAAATACAATTAATGACACATTCAATGGTTTTGAAATGTTAGAGACTAGTAAACTACCTTGTTCAAACGATCGCTACGGTCAAAATTTCGGTTGGCGGTGGTCACAGCTTCGATCGAAGGTCAAGGTGTCAGTCGACGATTGTATAGGTTTTGGAATGTCAGCGAGGCTGCAAGAGTCGAGATAGCGTTATGCACTTTAATGTATGTGTTTATGGTTATTTAGTGGGTTGGATTTTGTTCGGCTAAGAAATGAGACAATAAAATAGGTAATTGGGCCAAAAATTAGAAATGAAACAAATTATTGGGTCAAAAATTTGGATTTAGAAATTGTTAATTTGTTTAGAAAAAATTAAAATTAAAATAATTTAATTTATTCAATATAAAAAAAAATTAGAAAGATTCGGTTCTTTGGTTCTTGGTCTAGAACCGAGAATCGAACCGTACCCGTCGGTTCTAAATTCAGATATCCATTTAAGTATTTAATTTGACAAAAACCGTCGAGTTTGATTCAGTTTGGTTCGATTCGAAAGATTTGTCCAGCCCTATGTGCAGGGTTTAATAACAGAAAACCCTCTACAAACTTGTCCATGTGCAATTTATTCCCTTCTTATTGGAAATTACAAAAAGGTCTCTTTTTTAAACATTTTGTTCGAAATACCCTCATGCTGTCAAGATCCGTCAGTTGTGTTGTTAAATCCTAATAAATAGAGAAAAAATGGAAAAAATAAAAAAGAAAGAAAGAAAAAGAAAGGGAAATATCCTCCACCTATTAGACATGGTGGGCAAAATTCCTCCACCTATTTGAAATTGGCGTAAAAGACCCTTACCATCTATTTTTTTCTCAATAAAAATTATTGAAAATGACGAATATGCCCTACTATCCAAATAAAACAAAGAAAAAAAAAGAAAAATATAAAGAATTAATGGCAATCGTAATCTCAAACCTTTCAAAAAAGTGTAAACGAGTCATAAATAAATAACTAAAAATCAAAATTAAAACTTCATTTCCTTCCCCAATCCCCTCAAAACTTCGTCGTCTTCTTATCCTACCGTCAAAAACTTTCTCTTTTTCCCACCCCACCTATTAAAATTTCTCAGCAAATCCAAAACTCTAATCCTATATTTCTTCATTTCTTCATATTATCTTCTTGCTCTAAACAATTATCGCAATAAATACTCGTCTTGTCATTCGCACCCAAAACACGAAAATTGGTACATATTTTATACCATTGAATAAGAACCAGGAAATTGAGGGTTGGTTTGGTTTGCATTTCTGTTTTTAATTTTGAATTCATTTTCTATTTTATATTTTAAAGGATTATTTTAAAAGTTACAAAAAAAATGTTTAATTTGTCATTCCGAAAAACTTGTTCTCAAAATAAAAAATTAGAAAATGCTTTTGATTTAAGAACTTTAAAAATAGTTTTATGATATTTTGAAAGAGCATGGGAAGAGAGTGATGGGGAGAGGGAGAGGGAGAGGGAGACGAGTATTTGTATTCGGGTAAATTTTGTGTAATTTTATTAATTATTTTAATTTGAGAAAATTTTAAGTTGATTTTTTCTGTTTTGAGTTGTTTGAGTGTTTTCATTCAAAACGTTAAAAAATCATTTTTGAGTTTTTTGTTATAAAATTTTCTTTGTTTTCAAAATGTTATTTTTGAAAATAACATGCCAAACATGTTTTGAGTATTTTCGAAAATTAAAAACTAAAAATGGCCTCAAAATGACAAACCACATGCACTCTAAAATTTTTTATGGTTTCATTTTTATTTATTTATTTATTGTGCTGCATATGCTGATTTATTAGTTAATCATAAGGCTATTGTTTGAGAATTGGGAGGTTACCTTCATTGGTTGTACAACGCGATGGCGACGAGAGCGGAACAAAATATGTATTTTGATTAGGCGGTGGTGTTGCTGTAGGTAAAATTATAAAATGGGTACAATGTCTAAAATGCTGTGAAATTAGCTTGTTTGTTAGCAATTTTTTTACCAGAGAAAATCATTTGCTGCTTCTATTGCTAATTCATTCATGGTATCCGCTGAGAAATTTGGAAGTTGTGGAAGTAGTGGTGACGGACTACGGAAAGTGAAGGAAGTGACGGAGTAGGTAGGTTTTATTGGGAGGTAGCATGACTATTCGTCTTCCATCTTTTTATTGAGAACATAGATGGCAGTGGCTTTATCGCTGTTTTCATTGTGAACCATATCTAATAGGTGAGAGGGTTTTCCCTTTTTCATTTTTTTTTTTCATTTTTTCCCTATTTATCAGGGTTTAACGGCACAGCTGGCGAATCTTGACAGCGAGGAATATTTCAAACAAAAGGTTTCAAACAAGGACCGTTTATGCGATTTTTAATAAGTGAGAGATATATCGCAATGATTTAAGTTTGTTGGGAGTTTTCTACTCTTAAACCATAATTGTGAGGGGATTTCTAATATTTCATATTTTTGTAGATCTTACTGCACCTAGGGCTGGACATTATCCGATTCGGTTCCGTTCTAATAAGAATCGAAGAGACCTGAAATTTTCAGGTATTTAGTAAGTGGAACCGTCATGTCCAAATTTAATTATGGAACCGTTCGGGTTCGGTTCGATTTGGTTCCATAAGGTTCCGAGGTTCAGTATTATAATTAAATTTTTTAATATATATAAAGTTACATTAATTTAGCCCCTGTTTGGCCTCTATTAATTTTTATTCTATTACATTTCATTTTTCTCTTTTCTACTTTCAACCACACAATCTTCTATAAAATAATATTACATGTAAATCGAAAATTTTTCCTTTTTTTTTCAACCACTCATTTTTCAAAAAATACTATTCCACCCATTAATTTTGCCACATAATGAGCGTCAAACATGGGCTTAATTAATGATATGTTCAATCTTAGTTCTTATAAAATAATGTAATCCAATCTTATGTGTTTTTTATGTCTCTCTTTACTGAATTCTTCATAAATTTGATTATTAAAATCACAGGAAGAGAAATAAAGCGAGCTCAAAATAATTAAGAAAGACATTGTAGAGTTTTAATTCGATTTTCTCCAATAAAAACGACACTATAATAGAGTAACATATTTGAATAAAATTGAGATCGATTTGAATAAGTTGACTTTGAACTGAAAATTAGAAATAGGAAAATCATATTTTTTTGTTTGAACTAAATTAACTAGTTAACAAATTTATTTAGAAAAAATAAAATAATTTTGCTTATTTAAAATAAATTAATTTAAAAAATTAGGGAGATTCGATTTTTATTCGGTTCTTTGGATCTTGACCTAGAACCGAGAACCGAACCATATCCATTCGAGTATTTAACTTGAGAAGAATCGTCGGATTCGTTTCGGTTCGGGAGTTTTGTCCAGCCCTAACTGCACCTTTGATTTGTGGATGATTTTTGTCCCAAAAATTGTTAATCAAAAATTAAATATTTGACTTTAATTTGACCAATTTTTAAATTGACGAAATGATAAATTTATACTTTTCCCCATAAATATAACTAAAATAGTTATATAAAAGAAATAAATAAAAGAAATGAAAAAAAAAAAGATTCTTCCTCCTCCTCACACCCCCACCAATGGGATATTTTGGTGGACAAATCACTGGGATGTTGTCCTTTATGGATACTCTCTATTGATAAAATCTAATTGAGTTGGGTTTGAGCCATATTTTTGAGCCAAAATACATTTTGGAATAGTATTTTGTTAGAAAATGTGTGGTTAAAATGTAATGAAAAATTTTGGATTTATGAGTAAAATTATTTTATGGAATAATGTGTGGTTGAAATGAGTTTTGAAAAAATGAATTTTTGAAAAAATGGAAACCAAATATATGCTACGATGACCGAGAAAGATCGATTTATTTATTAAAGGAAGAAGGGCTAGATGTGGAATGCTTTAAATCGATCAAGATTTTGCTTTCAAGTTTCAACCTTCGTGACCTTTTGACTACTTCCTTTCTCACCATGTAAATATGTATTGCTAAGTGAAAATGAATTACAGAGACGTGATTATAGATAAAAGCATATACAATTTATCGTATTAAATCCCCATAATACCCCCACCCCCGAAAACAAGAGTTTTTGGATGCCTATCGTCTTCATGCTATGAAACTTTGTCTACGTCCAAATTGCATTTGCTTCTTATTTTGATCATAAAAGATTAGCATTTTTCCATTATCCAGTTCCTAATAATACTGCGAGGTCCACACTGTCTATTGATAAGCTCCTTCCCCAATATGCAAGTTAATTTTAGCTTGATCACAATGATCGATTTGACAAGATGTAGCTGTTGAAGACCAGATGAAAATAAATAAATGTATTTCATACCTAAAAATTTAAGCTTGTAGATGAAGTGATTCTAGATTTAGTACTTGCAAGAAACTTGCATACCACTTATTAAGGACTTGTTTGAGTCGCATTCTTTCAAAAAAAATATATTTTTAAACAATAATTTGACATCATTTTAATAACACATTTTTCAATAAAGCCCTTGTTTGAGCCACATTTTGGGGGAAAAACGAATTTTGGAATGGTGTATTGATGAAAAATGTGTGGTTAAAAAATAAGAAAAAATTTTGAATTTACGTGTAATATTATTTTATTAAAGGATGTGTGATTAAAATGATATCAAAATACTGTTTAAAAATGCATTTTTGTAGAAAGAATGGGGCTCAAACTGGGGCAAAATAATATTGCACGCAGATTCAAAACTTTTCCTCATTTTTTAATCACACATTCTCCATCTATCTACTATTTCAAAACACGTCCTTTCAAAATAAGGTGACTCAAATACACGCTAAATTTAGTCTTTTGTACCTCTGAAAGCCTGAACACTAGCTTGAAAATTATGGTTGCGCCTCAAACATGGGCTAAGTATTTTAAACTTGATATACTGATACTTCGGTCAATGGCTTCCAAGAATATGAGCTGGGGTTGAACAAGGAAATCGTCAAATTACAAAGAGCCTGTTTGAGAGTAATTTTGAAAATTGATTTTTTAACCATTAAGGGAAAAGTGGCGTCTACCTGTAAGAGAAGAAGTCAAATATGATGAGCGGAATGATATAATAACAGTCAAAAAATCAATTTTTTGGGGGAAAAATCACTTCCAAACAGGCTCAAAATTGAACGGAGATAGCTTTATTTGGAACCGTTGTTTTGGTTCCAAGTGGATCCATCAATGTTTTGATTTTAAACCGAAACAAACCATTTCGAAAGTGTTTGATTTATGTTTCAATCTTTGCAAACCTTTCAAACCGTCAAACTGTTTATCAAAAAAAATATGAAAATAAATTAGCCTATATTTTATCGAACCGAATTAAAACAAACACATGTCAGTTAAAAAATTCATCCATATTAGACATAATTCGATTAAACTCAATATCTATATAGAGAATTATACATCTTAGTGCTTGTTTGTCTCCATTTAAAATTTTAATATTTTTTTTGCTACAGTATTTATTTTTTACCATACATTTATACAATAGAATATTCTACACACATACCAATAAAGTTTCTTTATTTTTTCACTATACATTCTCCAAAATATACAATTCAAAACTCTTTAATTTTTCAAATAATTAGTGACAAACAGTGGCTTAATTAATTAAATCATATCAAAATATCCATCATCATCACAACTGTGAATGTAAAGCCTTCATAGTGGGTAAAGTGCAAAATAAATGCTATTAAACTATATTCATCGACCCTCCATTACAATTGAATAGATAATTAAGGGTATGTTTAAGCCCCTTTAATTTTGAAAAATGTAGTGTGGAATAGTAAATTGATGGAAATTGTATGGTTAAAAAAGAAGGAAAATTTTTTGATTTGCGTATAATATTATTTTAATGAAGAATGTGTGATTAAAAATAAGTACTGTAGAAAAAATATTATTAGAGAATGTAAAATAACAGCTGACAGGCAGATGCTAAATCTAAATTTTAATTCAAATTTACACATTTCATTTCCTTCTACTAATAATTTTCTTTAATTTTGCCTAAATTTTCAAGTCAGTTTATCATTTTTTTTTTAAGTAATTGTTTGTTATGTTGTTTTGTTCTAATTATTGTCAAGCTCCCTTAAATTTTTAGGCTATAGCATTTTTTTATTTATTTGCATCTCAATTTCCTAATCAAGTCACTTGATTAATTATTTACATTTTAATCTAGTTTCTAAATTTCACTGCTAATTGATAGAATGATTTGATAGATTACTTAAATGGTAGTTTTGAAGATTTGGCCAATGAACATTTTGACTTAGTACTTTGGTGGAAATTGAATTCAAATAAATACAAGATTGTCCTTCAAATTGCTAAATATCAAATATGTGTTAAATATTCAAATATCCATAATTATTTCTGATTCTACATTCCTTATTAGTGGCCGAATTCTCTATATCTTTAGGAGTTCATTAAGTGTAGATAAGGTTGAGATAGTGATTTGCTCTAGAAAATTGGTTACATAATAACAAGAAACCTATGGTAATTTGTCCATATTTTGGATAAAGTGTAAATATTGGATGATTTATAAAAAGTTACAATAATTAGGTATTATCGTATTTGATCTTTTTACTCATTTTTTTTATTACTTGTTTTATATTATTTAACCGTAATCAATATGTACTATATTCTTATCTTATGAAAAAAAATGAATCGTGTATTAAATTGCAAATGCACACCAATTAGTATCAACTAAGAGTTTAAAATACATCTACCATGTTGTCGCATTAAAATGATTATAATTATATAACCTTGATTTGTAATTTTTTTAATGATACAATTTATATTTTAGCATGAAATTTTAGATTAATATTTATGATTTAACTTATTTTATATATATATATATATATTAGTTTGGATTAGAAATCGAAGTAGTTTGATTTGATTTTAAAAAAATGCCAAACCTTTTTTATATGATTTGGTTTGAAAATTTGTTTCAAACCATTCAAATTGAACTACGTTCACCCCTAATATGAACCCTTTCAACAAAGTATTAAGTTAGCAAAGATGCTAAGTTCAAGTTTCGTTTGTGAAAATTATTTGTGTTAAGCTTTTGATAAAAAAGAAATTTAATTTGCATGCAAGGAAAATATATTAAAGAGAAAATTTAAATGAATAGCTAATTTTTATTTTGCTTTTACACGTTAATCTTTTAGACCAAGTGGATGGCACGTTATAAAATATGTATTTGTCCTACTTTGTGCCAAATATTGAGTACAGGGAGTACTGATGTTTAATTCAACTATATATGGTTTATGTTAAATGTGTCAACAAGTCTATATATCTATTGATTAAAAATATATATATATTATTTTATAAAAATAATGTTTTTTGAAAAACTAGTTGTACAATATAATTTAAAAAATAAAGATATATTAGATTTTATAAACAGAAAAATTATTTAAGTCGAAAATGATTTATTATAGCATACCAATATTATGTTAACATAAATGATCTTTTACATACCTGTGCTTAACTTATGTTAAATATCAATGACATGATGCATTATTTAATTGGTGAATAAGTTAATGTTAGGTTTCATATATTTAATGATTCATCAATTAAATGATGTGTTAGGTCACCGATACTTAATATAAGCTAAGTACCTGTACTTAGGAGATCATTTCTGATTAAGTTTGCCCTTTAAAATTATTTTTTATTTTTTCAAAAAGATGCAACCAAGCTTTATTGAAAAATGCTTGTTATACACCATTATTTATAAATAGATAAAGTGCGATAAATTGAATTAAAATATCTTCGCAACTTAAACATGTATTATGTAGGCCATGTTTGGTAGTCATTTTTTTCAAAAAGCATTTTCTCTTTCTTTTTTTCAACCACACATTTTTTATTAAAATAATATTACACGTAAATTATATTTTTTTCGTATTTTTCAATCACATATTTCACATCAATTTACTATTCTAAAATATATTTTTACATAAAAATGATTATCAAACAACCCATGGTATATGTTTGGGTTAATTAAAAAAGAATTTGGTGGAATTTTTATTTATTTATTTATTTTAGTGGGCCGAACAAGTTTTCGAGTCAATCTGAAAATCCTCCCCGTATCCCCTTAACCCTTCTCCAACGTTGTTGCCCGTCGGCCAGAGCCGCCCCGGCCCCGCCCCGCCCCGCCCCCCTTTTCACAAGCAATTCCTCAATATACGCAGTCGCGGTGCAAAGAATCTACCCGTCTCTTTTATTTGAAAATCTATAAATTCTCGAAGAACTATTCTCATAGAGCGTGTTGCAAAACAGATTTTAGCTTCTCAGAACGGGTGAGTTCATCCATAGTATAATCTTCATCAGGATTTTAGTAAGGAAATATGTGCACTTTACTTTTTAGAACAGTATTCCCAATCCATCGGCAGCTGGGTGATTCATGCTTTTACAAATCCTCAGTGGGTATATTTCTTCGTAATTTATCTGCTTCTTCTGTGATAGAACAGGAAAAAGCTGAACGTTTTCGCACCCTTCTGGAAAATTATGAATTTAGTGATACCCAAATTTCTAGACTTGCCAAGGAAACCCCAAACATCTTCTCGTGCAATCCTCAGAACATTATTTTGCCTAAACTCAAATTCTTTTTATCTATAGGAGTCTTGAGTTCTGACCTGCCTAAAGTTATTATGGGTAATCCAGCATTGTTGGGAGGAAGCATTGAAAAACAATTTATCCCGTGTTATAATTTTCTCAAGACATTAGTGGATTCTGATGAAGATATTGCTCGGATCCTAAAGCGCAGTCCTAGAATTTTATCTTGCAATTTGAAAGTAATGGAGCCCAATGTAGAGCTATTGGGTGAAGCTGGGGTGCCAGAGAGCTTTATCTCATACATGTTAATTCACTTCCCTCATTCAGTGCAAATGAAATGTGACAAGTTTAAGAGAAGTGTGGAGAAAACAATTCAGATGGGATTTGACCCCTCAAGGATGATGTTTATTCGAGCAGTTCATGTGTTGTGTGAGATTAGCGATCAAGCGTGGGAGAATAAAATCAAGGTTTATAGGAGGTTTGGTTTGTCAGATACTGAGATTGTATCAGCCTTCAGATCACACCCTCTGTGTATGAGGTTGTCCGAGGAAAAAATTACGAGGGGAATGGAGTTTTATGTAAACGAGATGAGCTGGTCTCCTGCCAAAGTTGCCCGATCCCCAGTTGCCCTCTTTTACAACTTGGAGAGGAGGATCATCCCACGGTGTCGTGTAATCAAGATTTTGATGGATAAGGGTTTTGTGAAGGAAAGTTCTACTGTAATTTACTTTTTGTCAATGACTGATCCACAATTCTTGACTAAGTTTGTGCTCAACTATAAGAATGATTTGCCTGAAATTATGGATGTCATCATGCTTGACAGATCTCGTAGAATCATAGTTGGTAGTTGTTTGAAGTAAACGTAATGCAAGTCATGATCCTTCCCGTTCTATTGTATAACTAGTTTTTCAAGATAGAAACTATTTTTGTGAAGTGAAGTTGCTATGATTAGCTATTGACAGAGCAAATATTGATTGTTTAGTTTAGCATTTTGCTTCTTCTCTGAAAACGAATGGAGCATGTGCTAAATTCATACAGCTTTAGCTTGGTTGACCCTTCATTATGGTATGACTTCACATGGAATCTCCCTTTCGTTGGGCAAAAATCTCTTCTGTAATTTGCACAATGACAGTATCTTGTTTCACATTGATATTTAGTTTGGCTTTTTGTCCTTATTTATTTCTCTTCGAACCTCCTGGAATTGGTTCTCTTCCAGTGGCAAATATTTAACTTTTTATGACAGTAAAATGTGTTTATGACTTGCATAGCATCTTCTCACTGAGTACATGTAGCCAATGTTATGTTTCCTTCAGGGATCACTTTTTAACAGAAATTCTTTCACTGTTACTTTGGACTTTGAATGTTCTTGATGCTTAAAAATTATACCATCAACGTACTTCATTGGTCATTATGGTGTCTTGTATTCTTGATGACTTTTCTCCATCACGTGCAAATTGGACATGGTTGTGGTCAGTGGTGTGTGCCCTGTTACACATACCAAGTATGGAAGGATAACACTAGTTGGATTGTATGTCCTTGCTTGTAAAGGGAGAGTATGTAGTCTTGTAAGTGTATATTGTTCTGAGTAGCATTTGATTCGATACCCCTTGGCTTTTACCAGAAGGCATATTTAAATTGAGTGGAGTGGCTGTCATGGAGGTAATAATGCTCCAGTAAGCCACTACCCCCAATTGCCAAGTATGAGACAGGTCATTTAGCTGTGGCAGTTGATAGATAATAGGAGGAGATTGTGGGCTTTAGTGCACTGCCAAGCATTTCTCATTCTCACAAATCATTCTCTCTAGCCGTGGTCGATTCAATTATCTCATTGGCTGAGCTCATAGGTTCATCTCCTCACTCAATCGGAGGTAAGGCTGATAGCATCATGGTCAAATGAGTTGACCTGAGGCCTGAGGGTGGCTTGTACTGTCATGCGACCATCTATAGGCATGACCATCGACTATTGGGCTGTCGTATGGGTCTTGCTAACGTATATGGCTGTAACCAAGTCAGATTTGAAGAGTGTACGCCTATATCCAGATTGCGTTTGATTTGAATTGACTACAAGAAAACATTCACTTGCATCATTTCCCCGTTGGAAATAAAAAATTATGGGATGAAAGATTAGAGAGAAAAATTCAGACAATTCTTAAAAATATTTATATTCTATGGCTTGGCTCAATAGAATGTCTCAAGCACAAGGCCTTTTATCGGTACAAAGGATCATAAGTACATTGTATGAACTTAATAGACTAATTAATGACTTTTCCTACATACTATGAATAATAGAATACAAAGAACCATTTGGATACATGATTTAAATAAATGCATGAATATTAAATAAACTAATTCATGTATCAAATTTAATTTTTTTCGTCATTCATAAATCAAGTTTAATTTCCCACACCCTTCTTAAACTTGATTCCATTTTGATAACTCCAATCCAAGTACGCAATCTTGCAAAATCATCATTCTTCAATGGTCTGGTGAAAATGTCTGCTACTTGATCATTGGTCTTCACATAAGCAAGCTCAACTTCTTTGTTCTCAATGCACTTTCTAATGAAGTGAAATCTCGTATCTATATGCTTACTTCGATCATGGAACATAGGATTATTACCCAAAGCAATAGCTGACTTGTGATCAACATAAATTTGTGTAGCTTCATTTTGAGGCATATAAAGCATCTCCAATAATTTTCGTAGCCAAATGGCATAACAAACACACAATGCAGCGGAAATATATTCAGCTTCACAAGTAGAAAAGGTCACAATGGGCTGCTTCTTTGAACACCAAGTGAAAGCGGTGTTACCCATGAAAAACAAAAATCCAGCGGTGCTTTTTCGATCATTAATATCACTAGTCCAATCACTATCACTATAACTATTAAGCTTGAAATTTGTAGAAGAAGAATAAGTTGAGTCATAATCAAGGGTACCTTTAATGTAGCGAAGTATCCTTTAGCAATCTCCAAATGAGTTAAAGTTGGTGCCTCCATATAATGGCTAACAAGACCAACACCATAAAGAATATCGGGTCTTGTACAAGTCAATTATCTGAAGCTTCTAACAAGCTGTCTATAGAGAGATGGATCCATTTTCGTGCTCTCGTCATATTTTGATATCTTTGTTCCACACCCAATGGGAGTACTCATCGGATTGTAATTTTGCATTTTGAATCTTTCAAGAACTTTCTTTGCATAAACTTTTTGACACATAAAATGCCATCTCCATTTTGTTTTACCTCAATTTCGAGGTAGTATGACATAAGCCCAATGTTAGTCATCTCAAATTCTTGAGCCATCATTCTCTTAAATTCATCAAACATGTTTTCATTGTTGTCGGTGAAGATCAAGTCATCAACGTACAAGCACACAATCATAAAACCTCCAAATACGTCATTTTTTTAACGTAAAGAGCATACTCATGTTGACATTTGATGAATCCATGATCTTGAAAATACTTGTCAATCTGGCTATACCATGCTCTAGGCACTTGCTTCAAGCCATATAGCGTCTTCTTCAACTTCAAAACTTTATCTTCATGTTCCTTGACAATATAATTCAATGGTTGTTGAATGTACACTTCTTCTTCAAGGTACCCATTCAAGAAAGCGAACTTGATGTCCATTTGATAAATTTTCCACTTATTTCGAGCTGCCAAGGAAATGATTAATCGAATGGTTTCCAAGCGAGCAACGGGGGCAAAGACCTTATCACAGTCAATGCCATGCTTTTGGCTATAGCCTTTGGAAACAAGTCTTGCCTTGTATTTCTCCACTTCTCCTTGAGTATTTTTCTTTACTCTATACACCCATTTCATGCCAATTACTTTTTATCCTTCTGGAAGAGAGGCTAGCTCCCATGTATTGTTTTTTTTATTGCTCGGATCTCCTCATCCATTGTGTGCTTCAATTTTTTGTCTTTCATTGCCTTTTCAAAGTTCAATGGCTCCATGTCAGCGAAGAGACAAAACAAAAATAGATTATCAACAATTTTAATTTCTTCATAAATCTTTATAAGATTTCTAATACGACTCGATCCTTCGGAGGGACTATTATGAGGAGATTGAGGAGCAGGAGAATGCGGTGAAGTGGCATCTTCACTTGCATTTTGGCTAGAGTCTCCTTGGAAAGGAAAAATCACGTATTCTTCATTTTTCGGAACATTCCAATCCCACGAACTTCCTTCGTCGAATTCCACATCTCTACTAAAAATAATCTTTCAATTGCAAGGATTGTAAAACTTGTAGCCTTTAGAGTTTGCATTATAATCGAAGAAAACAAACTTCTCACTTTTCTCATCAAGTTTTAATCTCTTCTCATCTGGCACATGAATATAGGCAATACTACCAAAAACACGTAAATGAGAAACACTAGGTTTCTTACCACTCCAAGCTTCTTGTGGAGTCATGTCTTGAACAAGAAATACTAGACAAATACACGACACATGCAACAGCCTCGGCCCAAAACTCCTTCTCCATACTCTTGCTCTTAATTGTACTACGAACCATGTTGAGGATGGTTCTATTCTTCCGCGTCACAACACCATTTTGTTGCGGTAATCTTGGAACTGTATGGAAATGCTGGATTCCATTGGTATCACAAAAATTGTTAAACTTATTGGAAGTAAATTCTCCACACCGATCCGTCATTAATGCTTTGATTGAATTGCCACTCTCATTTTCAACAAGGGCTTTGAATTTTTTGAATGCTCAAAAAACTTCATCATTCGTCTTCAAAAAAATAAACCCAGGTCTAGGGGAGAAAAATCATCAATAAATAGTAAGAAATAAATTGTTTTACCATGAGAGGGTGGTTTGATTGGCCCACACACATCCGCATGAACAAGTTGGAGTGGCTTTGTTGCTCTTGAGGTGGATTCCTTCGGAAAGCTTCTTCTAGTTTGCTTGCCAACGAGGCATCCTTCACAAAGTTGATTAGGATGATTAGTTTTTGGCAACCCATTCACAATTTCTTCATTCGTCAAGGTCTTCAAGTCACCAAAATTCAAATAATCAAATCTTAAGTGTCAAAGCCAAGAATTGTCTTCAACACAAGCTTTTAGACACCTTGGATGGTCAACATTAACATTGAGAAAAAACAATCTATTTTTCTCCACTGGCACCTTTGCAATCAGTTTATGAGAAACATCTCTCAAAGTAAGGCAACGATTCTTCAAGTGAATGTCATAGCCATTCTCAAGTAATTGTCCCAAACTTAAAATATTATACTTCAAAGTAGGTACATAATAAACTTGAGAAATCAAAATATGACTTCCATTTTTAGCATGAATAAGAACATCACTTTTGCCATTTATTGTAATTTTAGTTTCATCTCCAAACACAATGTTGTCTTTTACCGACTCATTTGTTGTTGAGAATAACTCCTTGTTGCCACTCATGTGATTGGCGGTACTGGTGTTAAGGTACCAAGATTGTTTATCTTTTTCTTCTTTGGTTGCCAAAAATAACAACAACAATACTTCATCTTCTTTTGCTTCAACATAATTCACTCTTTCTTCATTATTGGTGGTGTCACTCCTACATTCGGAAGCATAGTGACCATATTTATGACAAGTGTAACATTGAACATTGGACTTGTCATATCTTCTTTCGCCACCTCTTTTGGAGCCAGAGTTCCAACGCCCTCGTCCTCTCGATTGATTGATAAATCCTTCATTATTCAAATTTTGTTTTCCATCATTTCTTTCATTATTACGACTATAATTTCCTCCACGACCACGACGTCGACCATGAATTTGACCTCTTCTTTGAGATCGTCCTTGCTCTTTCTGTTGACCTCCCAAGGAGATTTATTTGGAGAACTTTAGCCACCGATTCTCCTTTCTTCTTCAATCTTTCTTCATATGCTTGCAAGGACCCTATGAGTTGATCAAGAGTCATGGTATCCAAGTCATTAGACTCTTCAATGGCAATACTAACATACTCAAGTTTTGAGTCAAGCGATCTAAGAATTTTCTTGATGACACGACTTTCTTCAATATTCTCCCCATACCGCTTCATATGATTGACAACGGAGGACACTCTAGTGAAATAGTCAAAGACAGATTCAGATTCTTTCATGTGCAGAGATTCGAACTCCCCACGAAGGATTTGAAGGTGAAAACTTGAAATTGTTCTTGAGAATCTCCCAAACTTCCTTAACTTTTGTTGATGACGCAACTTTCTCGAACATGGCTTCATCTAAGCCCATGTGAATAATAGAGAGGCGTCTTGATCTAACTTGCAGTACCTTTGCAAGTCATTCCTTTGAGCTTGACTTAAAGCTCCTTCATTCTTTGGTTCATCATAGTCTTTCTCTACAACATCTCATGCCTCTTGTGAGCCGAGCAACACCTTCATGCGTATGCTCTAATGTCCATAATTTTCTTTTGTTAGTTTGGGAACAACAAAAGGAAATAAACTATTCATCTTTGAAATGACTCTGATACCACTTTGTTGAAAATAAAAAAATTAGGGGATGAAAGACTAGAGAGAAAAATTCAGAGAATTCTCAAAAATATTAGTATTCTATGACTTGGCTCAATAAAATGTCTCAAGTACAAGGCTTTTTATAGGTACAAAGGATCCCAATTACATTGTATGAACTTAATAGACTAATTAATGACTTTTCCTACATACTATGAATAATATGATACAAAGAACCATTTGGATACATGATTTAAATAAATGCATAAATATTAAATAAACTAATTCATGTATCAAATTTAATTTTTTTCATCATTCATGAATCAAATTTAATTTCCAACATTCCCATACTGGCTTTATTGTTCAATATTTTGCCGCTGGTGCAATAACTTGGTGAATGAGTCCCTGAATGTGAATTCTGACATTTAGATGGGGGTAATGCAATTTTATTAATTGCTTTTGTTGATCCTTCTGGTCTCTTAATTAACCTTTCCAGAAACATGAAGCTCCGTTTTTGAATTGGTGAAAACACAAACAAACATGCTCGCAATCGTGAGTTAAATAGTTCAGTTGTCTGTCTAGCAAAGAACTTGAAAGAAAACCGGGTGCCTGCAGAGATTGAAGGGAGAAAGTCTCATTTTCCGAATATTGTGTCAAAAAGTGATTGAACAAAGGCAATTACCAGGCTTGCCGAGAGAGGGAGATCTTTGAAGGGGTCTTGGATTGCAAGCCATGATCTAGAAAGTGATTGTTCCCCACCCCTATATCTCTGTATCTCTCTGAGGTATGAACCTCCCACTGGCCACCCAATTCGGTGGATAATTATATATATGTAGTTGCAAATTCGTTTTCTTTTGAATGTGGGCATTCATCGTTTACGTTAGAATTAGTCCTCAACTCTATTGAATTCATAACTTCAGCAAAATCAGCAGATAACGTATTTAATTTCTTTCTCAAGGACAATTTCATATTTACCTTTGTTAAGGTTTTGCACTTCATCTTCTCCTCTTTGCAGTTACTTTCATATTGTCGAATGTTATATTTTCATCTTGTCTATACCATGATATCACTTTAAGTTTCGTTTCAATACTATCTTGATTCTTGAGTTTGGTTCCTTGGCTAACAGTAATGTGCCCAAGAAAGTGTTCTAGAAAATTTAATATTTGCATTCGAATAAACAGGATTTTGTTGGTATTGGCGTTCTTTCCTGACGCAGGTTTGGATCAAGATTGACGAAGGGAAGGCCCGGACCTCCTAGTTTGGAATTTCCCACCATGTTTTCCCTTTACACATAGGAAAGTTTATTCTTTCTTTTATCACTTAGGAGCGTGTGAGATGAAAGTCTCTTGCACGGTTTTGAATGTTCTTGATCTAATGAGGAGATAGGGTATGTTTGGAAGAAAAAACCACAACCCCTTGGGGTTATCTTGCACTTGGAAGATCGAATTTTGAATCTTTTGGTAAACTCTCTTTTAGACCTTGTTCACAATTTTGATACTACCTTGTTTAAAAGAAAAAAGAATCCAAACAGAATATACACCGAATTGGGGGAGTTTTCATACTGGTGGTGGTGGTGGAGCCGCGGTGGCGGCTGGGCCAGGATTTCAGGCTAGTGTTGGAAGGTTGAGGAAGAAGATGTCTTTTTCTTTTCATCTTTTATATATCTGTTAATTTAATATATTTAATATCCTCATAGTGTTTGGACACTAATATCCTAATCAATTTAAACAAGGTCGACGATTTGTTTTATTTCCCTCCTGAATTATTCTATGGGTACATAATATTGTACATAAAATGGATACCCTTATGTGCCCCCTAATGTATCCATAGAATAACCCTTCCCTCATTGGACTAAGGGTGTCAAAATAAAAAAGTTGAGGATAAAATTGTGAACAAAATTAAGGACCCAAGTGTTCCAATTTGTAGTCTTTGAAAACTTTCAATTTTAATAATTAAAAAAATACAAATGAAGAATTATAATGCAGAATGATTTGATTATACTGAGTTTGACTAATATTAATTTTTAAGTAAAAATATGTTGACTGAAATGAATGATAAGAGAAAATGATAATTGAGTTTCTAATTTCTCCATACAATTTCTACGAATGTTTGATTATTTTTTGCGCATCGGTTGTCAATAGAGTTTCTATAAGAAGGAAAATTCTATTTGTACATAATTATTATACATAATGGTGTACATAATATGACGTGGCAATCATCCAATTATTAATATGCAAGTGTGAGATTTGAATTAAAGGTTGGATTCAGTGCCACGTGTAATTATGGACACTATTATGTAGACAATTATGTACATGTAGCACTTCCTCTATAAGAAATGCTCGTGTCACAGCGTACGAGGACTTATCTTGGTATGCAGAAAAAGCTGTTCGAGAGCTAAATTTAATAGATTGGAGATCTTAATGTGGGATCAGGTGTCAATCTACTGTCTTAATAGTTGATTATTTCTTTTCTCTTTATCACTCAATTTTTTATTTTTATTTTTGGGTCTTAGTAAATTCTAACTCTCTTCAAGTTTGATTCTTTCTGCAGTGGATATGTTGCTGTTATTCATTTTCCTATTAAGATCTTTGGTTTCTATCGAGACCAGATGAAAAAATGGGATCACAGATCCTTCGGATGGACGTTTCAAGCGATTGATTTTATCCCTCTAGGACTAGGAGAGCCGCCACCACATCGGGCGATCCACCCTCATTCAATGAGGTGAGGCCACCTCCTCTCCATTAGACCGTCCTACCAAAGTTTTTCTCATCAATCTATTATCTTAATGCTTGATTATTAATTTTCTCTTTATCTTTCAATTTATTTATTTATATTTTTTTTGTCCAAGTAAATTCTAACTCTTTAAAACTTTGATCCTTTCAGCAGTGGATAGGTTGCTGTTATTCATTTTCGTTTTATTTATATCTTGTCAAGTTCGTATCATGCACTAAAATAAAATCTCTATAATTTTTTTGTCCAAGAGCTACAAAGGAAACTACCATAGGACAAAATCCTCTAAATACCACAACGAAAGATTATATACTAATTACATAATCAAACTATATTATTATGAAAATTATAATCTCGAACAGTCAAGAAATGTCAAGTAGAGTGTTACAAACCTTTTCGTATCTTTAACAGACGTTGTCGTGCACGAGAATATCACTCTTTCACATATCCCACAAGGGGTTTTGCATATCAGAATGTCCATGTGAGAGCTGTATTTGGTGCAAAGGATGCGTTACTTGCATTCTCTGTTGGTTTAAACCCTCCATTTCTAAGCTCTGTTCGTGCAGATTTTGGGGGCCCTCGGATCCCCCAACGCCTAAGAAATCCAGAGTCATCGTATCATTATGTCCCAAACTGGAATTCATTGTAGGGCTCCTACCCATAGCCATTCTTCCTTGCACAATGCCAGAATTTTCACTATCCTCTTGTTCCATAACATTCTTCAAGAAACCAGCAGAATACGGATCACTGTCCACTAGCATTCCGCCGTCCACCACCATGTCACTCAAGGCTGAGCCACCTGTCCTGGAATGGAACAACTGAGACAACTCTTGTGGGCTCTTCTGTAAAAGCTGGGTATCGAAAGTCCCTTTTGATTGCTCGTGAAAATTCAACGAAGGTCTTGATCCAGAGAGTTGATCAGAAACTGGCATGCTGCTAACAAATCTTTTTTGCATCATCGGAGAGTTCATAGTGTTGTTGCTTGAAGTTGCACCAATTTGGGCTGCCTTCTGCACTAATGCGGTAGCAGACGTATTGGCCAAGGATCCCAAAACTTGGCCACCATTATTGAGCTGAAGGGCTGATGATGATGAAGGAATGCCTCTCGTGTTCCCATAGAGATTGCCAGAATTGCTGGAAAACATGCTTCCTGCTGCCATATTGTTCATGGATTTGAATGGCATTATTGGGACAAGTTCTGAAGGGACAGATTTGAGGGGGTTGGTGAATTCTGATAGTTCCATGGATGTGTTTGTGGGCATATTTGACAAGATTTGCTCAGGCATTTGGTCTTCTAAATTTGGTAACATCAAGCTTTGGTTCATAACTTTGTTGTTTTCTTCAGCCAGTGCATCACAGAAAGCCCTGTGGGTGATAAAACTGTCTCTCCTGTGTCCAAAAGGATGCAACGAGGGATAAGATTAAATCCTTCTACTGAAAGAAAAGTGTAAAGAAATAATAGTTTTGTCCTCAGATCTTGTTATTTTTCCATTTCCAAGTAAATAGTAAAGATTGAATCAGGATATATTGTTTTCACGTTAAATAATCCATCATGCCAAGATATTTAGAAGCATTGGTGTGATGCATTGTGCAAGGAGTGGGAACTCGTGTCTCGTAGAGACCAAGGATCTCAGTAAAATGAAACAAATTTAGAAGCCCAAAAGGACGGTTGTTGGCCCAGTGACTATTTCTCTTGTTCGGTCCAATTTTTAGTCCAACTAAGTGAATGTACCAGATCTTGAGAAATCGTGTTTCTTAAACACGACTATTGCATTTGTAACTTAAACTGAATAGATGGCTAAAGTGTGGAGGATTTATGGCCGTTGGATGCAGGGTTAGCTGGAATCGATACATATACTATCTACAAGTCATTTGGACTGTGGTTTTTAAACCCTAACCTCTCTATGTTCTCTGTTTTTCCTTTGTGCTATTCTGAAAAGATTCATCATCTGCATGATATTCTTGTAAATTCTTGAGTGGAATTTTGAGGGCTGTTAATCAATAACACTTACCCTTATTTATGAGTTGTTTTGATTCCTTTGTGTAATAGCAGAGAATGAGTTGAGACGAAGAACTTTTTCAAATACCTGGTGTTCCTCTGTAATCGATATTCTATCCCGTGTTTTAGGCTGTGCTAGTGGATTTGGGCGAAATCCTTATGGATGCCGAACGGGGGATTAAGCATTAGATAGCGATCGTCGAACCCTCGAGGCCTTTGGTCGAAAATTCTCATGTGTTCTTTGATTTCTTGTTACTTTTATTGCATTTTTACGTTAAACTAGTTGAGTCACAAATCTGGGACCAACAATGGTATCAGAGCTTGAAAATCTTTTGATTCATATTCAAATTTGTTTTAAAACTCGATCTGGTTTTGGGCGACAACTATTTTAAAGTAAACGTCAGATCTAAGAAGATCTGTTAATAATCTTCAAAGAACTTTTTATATCTAAGCCTGGAGTTGATCTTTTGTATCCTTGGGTATCTCTTTTATGTCCGTAGTTCTGGTATCAAATTTCTTAACCTTCTCTGTAATTTTTTTTTAAAAGAAACTGTTAAGGGCTTTTTTATTTATTAAAAAAAAAAAACAAAGGATTTCTGAAAACCTCCCTAAATCTACCATTCCTTAAGAGAATCCTAGAATCTGAGGGAACTAGGGTTTCGGCTCAAGGAAATTCAAAAACGATTTTAGTGGTTCTTGAAACTTATATTGTACTATGTGTGTGCCATAATATTTTTGGGTTAAATTCATATACCTACTCTGGGTTGCAACATATTACTAACTTTGTGTTGATACTCTAATTGTGTTCTATTTTTGGGATTATGCTCTTCTATATGTGAATAACTTGATACCATATGCTTTGAACCTTTCATGTTGTTTATTGAGTGTAAGCATACTTGTCCACGACATATTTATTGTACACTCTATCCTTATATTTGGATTATATTCTCTATCTTGCAATTGGTTTATTTGAAATTGATTTGTTTGATATATTTTTGTTTATATCTCGTTTGAGAACAATTACTACACCGTTACATAGCATGACTACTAAAATAGACGTTTAGATGTGAGATGGTAAAGGAAACTTTTAGTCTCTGGCACCAGAAAATGAAAGCATTTATGCTACAATTGAAATGTGCTAAGGTCATTGATGAATCTTGGCAGAAAATCGAGTTGCTGATAGGAAAACTGAATAAGATGAATTAGCTTGGGGTACTATGATTCTCCACTTATTTGATTCTGTAATTAGAAAGTGGGGAAAACAAAAACTGCTGTAGTATTGTGGACTGCTTTAGAGAAATAGTATCTCATTAAGACCTTGCCAAATAAGTGTTTTCTTTGGAGACAAATCTTTGGCTTTAAGTTTGACCCTAATATTGACTCAGAAGAAAACATGGATAGATTTAACAGGATCACCTTAGATCTTATAAACTATGGTGAAAAGATCTCTTATGAACAAAAAGTTATTAGTCTACTTAATGCACTAGGAGAGAAATATAAAGACATAAGGAATGACTTAGAATACGATATAAGTGACTTGATTGTTGATATCATTCTTATCTCTCTTTTAAACAGAGAATCGAAATTAAAATCTAAACATAGAGAGGTCCTTCATGTTAAGAGTGCCTCATCTAATACAAAAACTAAAGTCAAATGTGTGAGTAACTTCGGTCAAGCCAATTATAATAAAGACAAGAAGACCTGTAAAGGAAAGGCTAAGAAGAAAAAGTGCTACTATTGTAGGTAAATAGGTTATTTTATAAATGTTTGTTTTAAGAAAGCTAATGACCAAAAGAATGAGTCTAATCATGAGAATGGCTCATTAGCTATTGCTGTCTCTTATAAAGAAGCAAAGGCAAATATTGGGATAGCTTGTGTGTCCTTAATTGTAAGGTCTGATCAGAACTAGGTTCTTGATTCAAATTGCTCTTTTCATATGAACCCCAATCTTAGTTGGTTCTTTGATTTCTCCAAACTTGATGGATGTTTTGTGAGACTTGGAAACAGTAAATCATGCCAAGTAAAGGGTGTTGGCAATATTGTTTTGAGATTTGAAAATGGTCAATACATGATATTAAAACATACTAGGTAAGTTCCAACCTTGAGAAGAAATCTCATATCCTTAGGGGTTCTAGATGATGAGAACTATCAGATTGAAAACAAGAATAGTTTTACAAAAATAATTAGAAACCAAAAGCTTATTTTCAATTCACCTAAAACTAATGGAATCTATGTTATTAGTTCTGAACTTGTTTCACCCAACTGTGCTATAAACTTGTGACACAATCTGATAAATTAGAATTATGGCACAAGATATTAGGACAGCTTAGTGAAAAAGACTTGAAATTTCTTTCAAACGAAGGGGTGTTTGGAAAGGACAATGTTCAAAGATTAACCTTTTGTGAACATTGTGTTATGGGAATGCAAAAGAGATGATCTTTTAAGGCAAGTATACATAAGTCTCAAGATGTGCTTGAATACATTCATAGTGACTTATAGGGTCCTACCCCTGTATCTATAGCATCGGACTATAGATATTATCTTTTTACCATAGATGACTACTCAAGGATTTGGATTTTCTTGTTAAAATCAAAGTTTGATTCTTTAACAATTTTTAGATGTTGGAATATATTAATTGAAAATCAAACCGGTAAGAAGATTAGAACTTTAAGGACTGACAATAGGCTTGAGTTTTGCAATACTAATTCAATCTGTACTGTAGTGAACGTGGAATCTTGAGGCACAAAATAGTGATCTACACCCTTCAACAAAATGGAATTACTGAGAGAATGAATAAGACCATTATTGAAAGAATTAGATGCATGTTGATTAGTTCAGACTTTTCAAAGATATTCTTGGGAGGGAGGGGAGGAGGAGGAGTAAAGACAGCCAATTACTTGATAAATAAGTGTCCTTCTAGTTCACTAAACAGTAAAGTACCTAAACAGATGCGGTCAAGATTAACGCCCGATTGCTCTTATTTTAGAATCTTTGGTTGTGCAACTTATGCACACCATATTGATTCCAAATTAGATTCTAGATCCATGAAGTGTATTTTTCTAGAATATGGTGAAGGGATTAGAGCATTTTCAAGAAACTTTCTATTTTTAAAAAGTATATTCTATTATTTGGAAAGTATTTATAAATTTATAGAGTTAAAACATTGAACTATTCCAACAAGTTCTTTATATTTAACACTTAATTTTACAACTCTCAAAATATTTATTATTTTTGTCTATCTTTTATTTTAACTAGATTTTCTCTAGATTATTTTATTATTTTCCTACATAAAAAATTGAAACACTTTGAATGCATCTAATTATAGAGAGTGGGTAATTTGAAGACCCAAACCCACTCTTTAAATTAAATTGTTAATTTAAAGAGTCTCTTGAAGTATAATTTTAAGTGTTGACTCTTTAAAATAGAGAGTATTTCAAATTTAAATAGTCTCTAGGAAATGCTCTTAAATGATATAGACTATGGATAAAAGATGCCAGAGGTTATAAAGTGATAATAAGTAGATCTATAATCTTTAATGAAGATGATTTTTCATGTCTTGGTGACAAAACTAGGGAGAAGATAGTTGATAATGAATTTATTATTATTGAAATTAACCTTGACAAGCAAAATGTTGATGACCAGACATAGTTTGAGATGGAGCCATTTCAAATTGAACCTTATATCATAATAGAAATTGAAAACCTAGATGATGATCAAGGCTTAAATCCTGCACATAACCTATAAGATTATCAACTAGCCAGTGATAGAGAGAGAAAACATTTAAGACTTCCTTTTGGATTTCAATATGCAGATTATATATGTGCACACTTTGAATATGATCCCTCTGATACAAATGCAACTTCTTGTGAATAAGCTATATCATGTAAAGAATCAACCAAGTGGTTTGCAACAATGAAAGAGGAGATGGATTTCCTACATAAGATAAAACGTGGAGAAAAATCCAAAGACTGCAAACTACTAATTGATTCCAAATGGGTTTACAAGATTAAAGAGAGTAAAATCAAATGACAAAAGATATAAAGCAAGACTTGTAACAAAATGTTTTACACAACGAGAGGGAATAGATTATACTGAATTTTTTTCACTTGTTGTGAAATATACCTCTATTAGAGTTTTGCTTGCTATTGCAACTCAATTGACTTAGTGTTAGAACAACTTGATGGGAAGATTGCCCTTTAATATAGTTCTCTAGATGAAACCATATATATGACTCTACCAAAAGGATTTGAAATGACGAATAAATAGAACTTAGCGTTGCTTCTAAATAAATCCTTATATGGCTTAAAACAGACCTCAAGGCAATAGTATAAAAAATTTGATTCTTTTAGACAAAGCCTGAATTTTAAGAAATCTGAATATGTAGGGATGA